AAACACTCTTGCATACTTTCAATTTATAGTCATTAGTCTATGTTGGCATATCTTAAATATCACTTTTTATTAAGCACTTTTTTGTCTGTGGTGGCCGTAAACAATAGGGGGTGAACTTAAGTTATCTCAGGAACAAGATGAGTTACAGAAAAACTAAATATTTGAAATCAGCAGAAAAAACTGCATAGTCCTGTGCAGTTTGAGCAAGATCACTGAAGAATTAAACAAAATATTGGCCCCGTATCTGCATGATAATCTGCAAATGTTGTCGAAAGACGATAGTCTTGCGTGTGGAGAGAGTGAACAAAGCATTCATTTGATGTTCTGCACAAGAAAATCGGTGAATGGTATTCTGGAAGCGCTGCGTTAGAGTGCCTCGAGTGTGCAGCGGAGGCGAACGAGCGGATCCACACACGTAACACGCGAGACATGAGCGCTATCTGGCAGTTTTCTTGGAAAACGTAGCGTGCAACTCTGAGACAGGTATGCGCGCCCATCTCAGAGGTGATAAGGTGTAGAATGCAAGGTGACGGGTACGTGCTACCACCGTGTCGTCTTAACAAAGTGTTGGAAACACTCGCCTTTTTGTGCAAGCGTTGCAAGGTCAGCGCAGCGTGATAAGCGCTACGGTCCTTAGAATTACTTATGTATGCCTTTTCTAGTAAAAGACGCACATACAGAATACGTACGTGTTGTTATGGTGCCTCAGCTATGCGCAATGATTGCTTTTAATTTGACAATTACACAAGTATGAACGCTCAAGCTTGAGCAACATTGGTGGGTGCTGCGGATGGGGTCGGCTGTTTGGGGCATTCGCTGCTGCCGTTCAGAGTACTCGGTACCGTTAGGGGGGTCAAACAGACAAATGAACAGACAGACAGACCAAAATTTTAGCGTCAAAGGTCCCATTAAAAATGTCTAAGGCCAGTCTGCCCCCTTAAGCATTCGACAACAGGTCTAACACGCAGGGGATGTTATCGCGCATACCCTCGAGCAACAGAGATGGGCCGGCTCATTTGATCTCTGCTTCAGCAGCGCTCGTTGGCCCCGCTCACGCACTTTTATCTACGGGTAGAACTTGCGATGCGCGAGGAGAGGGGGAGGAGCTTTTATCAATTTTGGACTTTATATGAAGCATGACAGCAAAAGCTCATCGAGGGTGTTCATATAATTGCTACTGCAATGATAACACAGTTTTTTACCGCTAAATAAATGGTTTGGGTGATCTCTGCCTTCAGTTTGACTTTTGTGTAATTTGTGCTTTTCCCCCCTTGCATTCTTGCGTTGAAACTGCATATAACGAAAATTTGTTTATAACAAATTTTGGATGGGATTAGTTAATTTCATTATATCAACGTTTAACTGTATTATACAGGGCTTTTGAGAATGTCACATGCATAGTCTTGGCCATTGTGCAGCTTCAGGGGTCTTGGAAGCCATCTATATATGTAGTAACAGCCACCTAATTATAGCTTTTCGTTCAGCGTGGGTTGCACGATAGCGGCAGCATGGCATACCATTATTCTCTCGGTTGTTGAGCCGAAATGCTGGCACTTCAACTGCTTAACGACTGCAATAACCGGACTGCTTAGTACAACACCACCGACCAGCTTTCTTGTTTAATGCAAATGTTGGCACGGACTAATTGCAACCTTTGCAGAAAAAATGGCAAAAACACAACCCCCTCCAAGCACTTTCCTCAGCTGTAAAATTGTACAAAATAGGAAAAATCTGTACATTGCATGTCAGATTGTGGAGAGCTGGCTTATTCTCAAGACAAAGCAAAATATTCCATGAAAAGCAGTCATTACATCCATAATTCATTACAAATGAAGCTACTGGTGATGCTTTGCATGTTTTGTGCAGCAAGCAGTGAGAGGGCTGAGAACATGCTCACGATTCCTTGAGACCCAAACCAACAAAGTCCACTTTAGACACTCACAATGTTCTAAAACCAGCAGTCGCACACAATTTTTAATTTCTTACAAGTGCCACTCTAAACTAGTGTGTAACAAAGCGGCTGAGCAACCCTCCTGCGCTGTCTTCATACAGGAGTAGCATGCACAACCACACAGTTGAATAAGACTGGACTGGACTTCCTCCATTGTTGCCGTGCGAGACAGACTGATAATGATACTCAACACTATTTGCAGAGTGTCCCTGACTTACTGCAGAACGCACATCATTCGTTGAAGCTCTTTGGTAATGAAGCACATTAGATGGTAGTGCAGAAATCATAAAGCTTTCATGAAGACAGTGGACTGACTGGTTATCCAGAAAGCATTGGCTGCTCCTGAAGTTGTCAAACAATTTGGGGTTAGTGTCCAACTCGTAAATCATTAAAGACTCATTCCAGGGCGCTGAGCCAAGTGGAGTTGGCAACATCCTGCATGCACGCGCGCACGCACTGGATGGCATAGAGCCTGCGACCTAGTGCCCTGCTCTATCACGCCTTGTGCATCATCGCATTCACTCATCTTGCATAATTCTTCTGTTTGACGAGACACTCAATGACAGACCTATAGATTCTGATGCTTAAAGCCCCCTGAAAGGCATTGCATGTGGGGAGCTATTGTCGGCTAGTCCCACAAGGCTAGATACAGCTGCTATGAACAATCTCCTCCTTCTCTTCTGAAAGGGGTACTGACACCTTTTTTTTTTTTCGGAGGCGAGTTTACTCTGCCATACAAATCTTCAGTATACAGAGACACCTCTGAGCAAGTGTGACGCTCAGCAAATGCTGATATGATAATTAATTTGATATTAAAATCAGATTTCTCGCGGCGCACCTATCGACATCGACACTACTTGACGTCAGGCTACAATACTAATGCTGGTGACTTCACGCAGCAGTGTGGTAAGTTGTGATGACGTCAAGCACCAAAACACAAAAATGGCACTTGCGCGTCGCCCTCTTGGTCGTTTCCTTGCACCATGCGGTCACTGTCATCCAGCGTACCTGAGAAGCAAGCTAGCCAAATCCGGAACATAGCGTACGTGCGTGCGAATACAATATTTATGCCTATCAGATGGCAAAGGAATTGTTTGATCTCTGATTTGGCACCATGGCACCAATAATTTGCCGCGTGAATTGGCTTGCACCAGTGAAACGGGGGACAATAGGTGCAAGTTCCATCGATTCCAGTCTGATCCGGCGCCGAGCCAAGCGTGGGTCGACCTCGTGCACCGCGGCTGAGGCAGAGACTGGACGCCAACCAAGGGGAGTTTGCACTGTTTGCTTCGGACGCGTACACGCACAACATGCAGTTGCTGATGGACTTCGCATTGTCGACGGAGAACCTGAGCCTTAAAAAGTGCTAGACATATGGTGCGATTTGGTGTCCGATTCAGTGTGCGGCGATTCATGACACATGGGGAGAACGAGCCATCAGCGCTCGGTCCCCACGCACATACGGCACTTTAGTTTGCACACTCGGAAGACATTGTATCGTTTTTATTAAAGACAAAATAAACAACCTCACACAGCCATGCTTCGTTGTCTAATAACATCGCCAACAAAGCTATGCCTTTGTGAGCGACAAACATCGTCGCAGCCCAAATGCTTGGCAAGGTCGCTTCTCAGCAGTATTGCTCGCTCACTGTTGCTGATTGTTGAGCGCCTCTTTTTCCAACATGATAAAAACTTGTGCACTTACATGACGCTTTTACCAAGCAACTAGGTTTCTCGACGGCCTCGATGTAGAGAGCAAAAGTGGGTACGAAGCGGACTGGTTCGTTGAGACGGTTGCTGCCACTTTGTTTACCTGCGAAATGTCCTGCCATCACGGCTCGATATCACATTCGTGGTTCGAAAATCCACGTTGCCTTGCAGCAACAGCACACTTCAGGCATCACTTTAATCAATCATAAGTTATTTCACGTCATAAACACTTTATCCGATGTTTTTCATGCCACCAGCAACCGCGATATCTACAAATACCAGGGCGATCGAGGCAGCGAGGAATAAACCTGCGACGGGCGCCCACCGCCATGCTCCCGCGCGGATGCGGCTGTTGCCACGAACAGCCGTACAGAAAATCATATCTGGATTTGCATTATGTGTCCAGCACTGAAGCGATGCCATGCAAACGTTGAGCTCCCCTGCCACGACAGTTGCCACACGTGTGGCGTGCAGCAGATGAAGCAGACAATCGAAGAAGCGATGTGCTGACGAAGACTCATCACGAAAACATGCGCGCTGCTCATACCACGTCGTGACAACAGGGTACAGTAGGAACAGAAACTAGCTTTTAAAAGCATGCTGTAATTAATTTTTTAGCGCACACTCATGCTTACCGGTACGTTTTCTATGCTCTCGGGTGCTTGGCTTATCGCTTGGCACGAAAAAAGTATAAGTGAAAAATTTCGTGTCGGTGAAAGCATGTGAAAAGCGAGTAACAAGATGCAATGATAATGCTTCTAGTTGCAGTGAGCCACATTTTTATTAAAAGAATTGAGTAAACGCTGCTTGCTTCAGCCTTTGTTCAAGAGCCAGCATGAGTGGAGGACATTTGTGAGCGTCTGCAAACTTGGTAGCATGCCTTGCCACTTCTTGAAACGGCAGCTTTGCGGCCTGCGTGTCGGCAAGAGTGCTCATTAAAACGTATGGTTGCCTAGACAGCTATAACCCCTTGTTGAATCATGTTTGTCTGCCAACTCAGTTTCTGTGAGGATTATAGTTGGACTTATGTAGGGCACATTGCTTTCGATACTTTTCAAACAAGGTGGTAGTAATAGCTTGAGCATGCATACGTATGACATACATACAAATAAAACATTAAGCTGCGAGTGAAAGACTACTCCTGTCCGCTTTATATTATGCTCCTTGTAAGAAATCTAACCTGCTTCTGACTAAAAAACCCCAACTATCTCAATTTGGTGTCTTGATGAAGTGCTTTAATATGAGTTAATGTATATATTTAATAGCACTCAGAGTGCCTAAGAGTTGTTTGTTGCCATGTATTAAACATGCGTATATTTAAGGAGAGCTGGAGCCTCACGTGAGAAGCCATCCATCCGGAAAGGGCTTGATGAAGGCATCACGGCCAGGATAAGAGCAAGGCACTCGGCTACTTCGTTGCTCCTGGCACAGGAGAGGGCAGGTGTGTGGCCTGTGTGCACACGACTTCATAAGGCATGTGCTACATAGTGCATTGTGAGCTCAAAGAACAGTAAGAAAAAAGCGTTCACAACACACCAAGCCACATCCTGTCGCTAAGAGGCTGCCCATATCTCCTTTTATCAAGCTATACATAGCGAGACAGTGTAAATTCTGTGTTATATAATTAAAAAGGCTAGATGATTCACTAACATACAATCGCTTTATCATCTGGCCATGTAAAGTCTCTTTCACACGTAGGAAAAATCGTGGAGCGTTTGGCATCGCGATGCGGCCGGCGGCGGCATGCGCTAGATGCTGCTGGTGAACAAACAAGATGGTGAAATTTTGTTTTTTAGCGTGTTTCATCAAGCACTTCATTTAGAATGGAATATTTTACATAAGCATGCGAGCGGCCCCAGAGTCTGGCAACGCTGGCACACTTATGGCATTGAAATTTACCGATTTGCAATGGCTGAAACTTTAACAGAAGGCGGTGGCTCCGCTCTATGCAGCACATGACCTCCCAAATGCATGGCAAAATGGCGGTTGCCGGTGGTAGGTGGGGTTTATAGCCAGAAGTTCTAGGGCTTATTCTGCATCGAAATATTTTTTTGCAGTCCATTTATCATATGTGTACAGACAAAATAGAGCCTTTACTTTGATTACTGCCAAAGACAGAGAATCCTTGGGTGACCGTGTCGCGGCCTCTTTTAAGGGGGGATGCTACACCTTCCAAAAACTCTTTTATTTTTGCGAGTACCTCAGTCAAATTTGGAGAGCCTATGTAGATTTTACTGCTGATTTCAAAAATCTAATTCTTTTTTTGCTGTGACAATTAGTTTTAAAGACATAATGAACTGCGACTTTTTCAATTAAGGCCTAATTAGCTAATTAACTGTAACTTGGATATTGATGTGCAACCTATAGAACCAATTCGGTATGTTCACAGTGTGCAATAAAGTATAAATCATTGTTCTGGGCTATTTCGAAGCAAAGTTGTGGGATGTTGAATATGACATGAAAAATTTCCCCATCTACACTTGAAACAAAAGATCCATTTAGAGAATTTTCTCCAAAAATTATTACAATAAAACTTACTTTACGACACATCCCCTGCATTTATCTTCGAAACAAAAAGAAATCGTAATGATAACCCAGATAGAACAAGAGATATTGCTCCGGCATAATGGGAAGCACATGAAAATTGTCGTTTTGAGAAATCGAGAAAAAACGTGGGCACACATTTTTATTGCAGAAGATGCAACAAGACAACCTCAAAACGCACCAGAAGCATAGTCTGAATGCATTCTGTGCTCATGCCTCCTCTTCACTAGCTTCCGGAGTTCCAATGAGGCTGTTCTTTTCTTGTTGGAGACAATGCTGCGACGGTGGTCTTTTTCTCTCGCTCTCCTGGCACCAGTACTTGTCGCATTCATGTCCATTTCACCTAAGATTGCCGTTGCAGAATTCAAATTGCCCGTGTTGAAGCGCAGCACTGCTTCTGCAACAGCTGCTTCAACAGCGAACAGGGACGCATGGTGCTCCTTGGGGGCCAAACTCCAGATTACCGAATGTAGGCTCTCGGAGTTCTGCGTTTCGCCGCGTTCGCACCTCTGAAGCAGGGCTCTTTCCGAAAGCCGGGTATAAACCGGTAGTAATGCCTCTGCCACGTCTTTCGGTAGATTGTAGGCATGCCTGGGGTCGGGCTCACCCTTTGCTTTTGCGGCATTGTGCCGACACCATGAAGTTTCACCAGCTGGGCACAGACTGTGGTCCGAGCATTCATCAGTGGAGGTGACGTGGCGGTATGTGGCCATCACAGCCTTTTGCATCTCGCCCACGTCACCTTCATGCGATTTCAGAGCCCGGCCATAATATGTGCTCAGCCTGGTGATCAGCTCACCTGTGAGCCTGCCTTTCCCACCAAGGCCTCTTGCACTTTTCCTATCGCACTTTTGTTTCTGCACCAGGTTTCTCAATGCGGTGCCCATCCGTTTCTGTACATGATTAATACAGTCTTCCTTCTGCACGTCAATGTAACCATACACCTTGGCGTCTTGTATGGCGCAAAATGCCCTACAGTCTCCATCAGACAGCGTAGTTGTGTAGCGCAGGCCATGGCGTTCAAGCGACCTCTGAAATAGAATTAGAGCCGCCTCCACTTCCATTTGCCCCGCTTTGCTGTTTGTATTTTTTTGGCATTTGTGGTTAGCCTTCCATTCTTGATAGCCCTCACTACTAGGCTTTGGGCCCACCTCGCAGCCTAGGCAAAAGTTGGAAAGAACGACGTAGTCCAACACGTAGCCACTAAATAATTCGATAACTGTGCCCACGCCGATGTGGGAAGAATGGCCTCGCGTCTTCCACGTGCCGTCGTAGCTAACGGCAATATTGCCCCGGTGGCCGAAGCACAAGTCATCATAAATTGTTCTAACCTTTTCCGCACATTCGCTCATAGCGGACTCAGCCGCTCGCGTTGCAGCGGGTGCCAGCGTGTTCTTCAAATGCCGCTGAAACGTCTTGTGGTGCATACCGCGGTGTGAGATGCCCATTGTTGCGAAAATATCGTTCATTTTCGTTTGGCCGTTGCCGGTAGCCACCATCGCCCTCGAAGCGGGAAGATTTACTTCAAACGGATTGCACGTTTTCGTGCCGTTCGCGAGGGGCGAAGTCCATTCATTCAAGATCTCGCCGCACCTTTCACACTGCACTAGCACTTTCACGGCAAGTCCGTAGTCCCAATCCCCTCTGACGATCGTAGCCGGTCCGTGGCAGGCTTTGCAACACAAGGCACCCATTATCGCGTTTAGGATATCTAGATGCATAAGCAGATAAGGAGCAGCGTGGTCCGAGTCCTGTGCGGTTGCCTCGCTACAACTCGCGGTGAAAAAGTCAATTTTCCGTGCAGTTGCTGGCGCCGATGAAAGCCGGTCGAGCGTCGCTTTCTCCCGGGCATGATTTTCTTCAACTTCGGCGTTTGTCACCACCTTGGCGTCGATTCGTAGTCGTCCGGAGTTCGCTTCACAGTCATCGTCGTCGGAGGCAACGCGCTCGGTCGCACCATCGCTGAACGGCCGCAGAGCGTCGACACATCGTTCGTCGGAGTCAACCAAGGGCTCTGATGACTTCGTAGACTTTCTCCCACGACCTTTGCGTTTCCTGCGACCAAATGCGTGCACGGTCCGATACTTTTTTGCGTTTCCAGGCATGGCGATACGATCAGAAGCTTCAGAGTGCTCTGCCGATTTCGAGGCGTCACAGCGGTAACCCTTTCAAAATGGCGTCGGGTCGCGTATGCAGGTCGGGTCGTGTATGTTGGCAAGCCGCGAGCTTCCAGCCAACCGGAAAGCGCCATTTCAGTCACGTGCGCCGTTTAGCCAATGGCAGTGAGCGCGGCTCTTCGTCTTTGAGGCCCCGTTTTTCGAGCCGGGGAAACGCTCAATGTTGCTTACTGAATAAAAAAAAACAGCTGAAAACGCGTTCTTTCAAACAAGACCAAAATGGCGCCGATCGAGCGCGTAGTTCCCGCGTATCGTAGAGCCGAAACCTGCGCTATTCGCCCTCAATTTAAAGGGCAGGACGCCCGTTTTCGGTTTTTTAAAGTTGAATAACGATAAAAGTTGATGGTATTCGGCTATGAAATTTTGTAAATAGGTGCGCAATGATGTCGGGAACGCGAAAAGAAGGTCCGCGAAAACTCGATTTTTTGGCTGATTTTCGGTCCCGAAGTGTTGCGTCCCCCCTTAAGAGCTCTGTCACTGCACCATGTGGCCATGGTTGGCACAAGCTATTTAGACAAAGTAAATGCTCTATCACAGTTTTGCTCCACAAAGCAGAAGCATTGCAGTTCAAAGCAAGGCATGTACTTCTAAGCTGAAGTCAGTGTTTATGAGAACTTCTGGGTATGCCTTTCGGTCAGCAACGTAGTTGCAATAAGCAATGGCCATTTGTGCTAGAGCACGTATGGCTGGAAATTATGATAAGCTGGATCCATGAAGAGATGCTATATACCCATTCATCACCATTAGCTTAATCTCATAAAATTATGCTGCTTACGCAGTCACTGACCTTTAAAAATTTTTTAACCTAAGACATGACACTTGGCTGTCATCTCTCACGACTGCTAAAAATTACAGTAACATTAACGTGGATTTCGAGTGCCTAACGTCTTCTTTTTCTGAAACACTACCAAACACTACGTTGCCGTACGGTCGGCACGAATTATCATTTTCTTTTCGAAATGTAGCAGAATGTAGCTTGTCTCATCTCTCATTGCAGCTTGGCGCAATGGGCACAGCAATCAGAGGTGAAATTATAGGAAGATGGCTTTTCTGGTGCCAATGCTATTCGCGCTTTTCAGGCTTGGCCAGTGATCAGAGCAACGGAACGTCAGCATTACTGCTGGGAACAGCCAGCCATGAGTGGTGAACGATAAGAATAGCATAGAATAAGGCGTAGGGCATTGCTCTGAGAAAGTACCCAGATCACTCGCACAACAATGGTATAAAAGAGACACCTGCAAGAATGAGAGACTGATTGCAAATATTGTTCGAAAAGTTAGCACTGACCATTGACATCTGTGGCAAGCACGTCAGCACCATTCAGGAGTAGCGCCTGAGTTGCATCGATCAGGCCATTGCTTGCGGCAACATGAAGAGCACTGTAAAGTACAACACCAAAAAAAAGCCTCAGTCGTGTCACCAACTAGCGCAAAAAAAAAAAAAAGCGCAGCTTACTATTGCAAGCAAAATTTTGCATGACCTGGAAGCTATGAAGGTGCACTACATGCAACAGGCTTCACAAAATCATGGCAATCTGAACTACACTTGCAACTGACAAAGAGAGAGAGAGAGAGAGAGAATAAGTTGAAACAACGCAATTCCTTTTACGCTAAAATTTCAGGCGAGGCAATCCCAATGTCTTGGAGGCAATCCCGAAAACCAAAGCTATACAGAAGAAGGTGGTAATAATCAACTACGTGAAACCTCATTTCTGCACCAAGAAAAAAAAAATTAATGAGGCACACGAGCAGTACTCCACACTTACGTTTTCATGTCATCATTGATCATATTGATGAGCTTCACGAAGTCTGCTTTCCCCAATAGTGTGGCCACTGCTCCCTCTTGTTTCTGGTAGTAAAACAGTAAAACAATTCCGCATATTGAAAGAGCACGGCCACCAATTCCTTTACATCTTTATAATTTGAGGGCATTAACAATAAAAAGAAAGAATTACAGTAAAACCCCATTACAGAGGCGTGGTATAATGTATTTACTCGAGTATAACATGCTTTTTTCCTGCTTTTTGCTACCTTAAGTCTACCCTCACATTACAGTAAAATACCTAAATTCAAGTACAGTTAAACCTCGTTATAACGAGACGGGCTTTAGCGAAATAATGGATATAATGGGCAAATCCTAATTCCCCTTGAAAGTCCCCATACAAACCAATGTATTCAAAACCTCGTTTTAACGAGGCAAAATTTGCTGTTATGGGATATAACGAACAAATTTTGTTAGGAAGTAAAATTTTGAGCCGATGTCACGACAGTGCACAACGTGAATTTGAGACGGCGCGCAACGCGAGAACTGTATTTAGCAGTTCAAAACTCCTGCCACGCGCCCTCCAGCAACGCGCGCAAAGCAGACGGCACGCGCTGTTTCCGGAGGAGAGGTCGCTGCATGTGCGACGCCTGGCTACCACCAACAGCGGAGCGCTCTGCGAACGTCTCGCCCTTTTCTTTTGTGTCTTCTTTATATTCTCCCTCTCCCCTTTCTCATGGCGCTAAGGCGCGCTTCCTAATCTTACATACCCCCTTCCCCTTGAGTTACCGGTTCCTAGAGGGCAGCGCAAAAGAGCGCCCCTTCTGCCCCTTCCTCTTCACAGTCACTTTCTCTGCAAGTGTTGTCGCTCGCCGACGTGAGCCGCGTAGCTTTTTCGTGTGTGTTTCTTCTCTTTTTCGACCGCTTCCGCCTTATCTTTTATCGTGCTGCGCTCGTGATTCCAGCAACATGAATGCGCCAGGCGGGAAGCGAAAGCGCATAACGCTAGATCAGAAGGCGGCTATGATAAGAGCCGTCGAATCGGGGACCAAAAAGGCAACGTGGCAAGAGACTTTGGCGTATCGACGAGCACACTGTCAACCATCTTGAGCAAGCAGGAGTCCATCATCGACGCTGTTGCACGTGGCGTAAAAGGAAGCGCTAAGAGGATGAGGGCACCTGCCTTTGAAGCGGTCGAAAGGGCCGTTTTTAAATGGTTCTTGGACACGCGGGCCGTGAATCTGCCGGTGAGCGGCGCCTTGCTGCAAAGAAAAGCGAGAGACTTTGCCTGCATCATGGGCTATGACAACTTCGTAGCAAGTTTGGGTTGGCTCCAACGCTTCAAGGAGCGCCACGACATTGTCGGGAGAGTGGTCTGCGGCGAATCCAAGAACAAAAAAGAAAAAAAAAAAGCTGCTGTGGAGTGTTGGTTTGCTCTCAATTGCTGATCTGCTTCTCTCCGCGTGAAGGCGCTCCTCCTTTCTCATCACGTGCTAGCCATGCTGCGGCTGCGTAGCGGAGAGGCTCCTCTGCACAGTCGCTGTTGTCGTCTTAAATGTCCGCGCTGGACATTTCCGCGCACAACTTCTGTTGCCAAGAGAATGCTGAAGACGAAGTAGAAATGCTTTGCAAGCTGCGTGCGAAACTTATTGACTCACTGCAAGGCAAACGTAGGCAGATGCACATCACCGATTACTTTATTAACAGATGTCCTGTGATTTGTGGATAAATGTAAGCCTTCTGAAACTTTGCCCTCGTGTGTTAGCTCAATGCACATGCGCCACTGCATGGAGAGCCCTTCGTTTATTTAGCTATCATCAATTCGAACTTCTATTGACTAATTTTCGGGCCCCTTCGAGTTCAAATTATCGAGATTTGACTGTACATGATGGGGCAGATTGACAATGCCGACGAAACCCCCGTGTGGTTTGACATGCCTTCATCAACCATGATCATGCAGCATGGCGCCAAGGATATGAAGCTGTTGTCCACTGGCAACGAGCACTCACGCTTCACCGTCATGCTGAAATGCATGGTAGATGGTAGAAAGCTTCCGCCCTTCATTATTTTCAAACGTAAGACAATGCCGAAAGAAGTGTTCCCCCTCGGTGTTGTCGTTGGTTTCAACAAAAGGGGATACATTGACGAGGCCATGATGCTCGAATAGATACGAGTAGTCCGGAACTGTCGGCCAGGTGCACTGCTGCGTCTTTGCAGCATGCTGGTGTTAGATGTGTTTTGTGGTCACTTAACCGACGCTGTGAAGCGTGCACTGCGCGATGGAAAAACGGACCTCGCCGTGATACCAGGTAGTATGACGGCCACCCGCCAACTGATCGACGTTGTGCTAAACAAGCCGTTCAAGGACCGAGTGCGGCTGGAGTACCAAAAGTGGATGTCTGGCGACAACACAAAGACACCGACGGGCCGCCTACAGAGGCCTCCGCTTGCGAGCCTTTGTGGCTGGGTGCTTTCCGCCTGGCGTTCCTTGCCAAATTCCATAGTGGAAAATGCTTTTAAGGGGGGACGCGACTTTGGGATCGCGAAAAATGGCAAAAAAAAAATCGATTTTTTGAAAATCCAGTTTTCAGTTTATGGCACTCTTTTTATATCGGATTCCAAAATATCTACACTGAAAACCGTGCAGAAGTGCTTTGGAAAATTCGTTTCACCCACCTAGGTAGCGAAAATATTTCTGGAAATCGCGAGAAAACAGTGAATTTTGAAAAATTATAGCTTCGCAATGGCGGCCTACAGTGTTCGTTGTAGGCCGCCATCACTTAGGATATATTTACGCGTTAGTTAGGAGCTGTAAGCGGATGCGCTATCAGGTTACTACGAGCGGGCGCGCGGTCTACAAGCGTGGCGCGTCATCGGAGTCCTCTTTAGCCACAACTCCGCCGACAGCGAGACGCCAGGCAGGAATGACGCGGTAGTGCACTTGTGGCGACGTGCTTCTTCGCAAGCAACGAAGCTGTAAGCGGCGGCACGATCAGTTTACTACGAGCGGCTGCACTGGATGCACGATCAGATTACTACGAGCGGGCGCGCAGTTTACAAGTGCGGCGCGTTATCGGAGTCGTCCTTAGCCTTAACTCTGCTGACAGCGAGACTGCGGGCAGGAACGGCGCGCTAGTGCACTCTTGGCAACGTGCTTCTTCGTAAGAAATGAAGCACATCACTCGCTAGCTCCTCTGAACCACGTACTGGCATTTTACGCATTGGCAGCGGACCACACAGTCAAGCTCAGCACCCCCCAACTCACTGCCAAGGATTGCTTGGAACAGCGGCTAGCAGTTTCACGCGTCGTCACTCGAATACAGTTAAACCTCGTTATAATGAGACGGGCTATAACAAAATAATGGATATAACGAGCAAATCCTAATTCCCCTTGAAAGTCCCCATACAAACCAATGTATTCAAAACCTCGTTTTAACGAGGCAAAATTTGCCTGTTATGGGATATAACGAACAAATTTTGTTAGGAAGTAAAATTTTGAGCCGATGTCACGACAGTGCACAACGCGAATTTGAGACGGCGCGCAACGCCAGAACTGTATTTAGCAGTTCGAAACTCCCGCCACGCGCCCTCCAGCAACGCACGCAAAGCAGACGGCACGCGCTGTTTCCGGAGGAGAGGTCGCTGCACGTGCGCCGCTTGGCTACCACCGACAGCGGAGCGCTCCGCGAACGTCTCGCCCTTTTCTTTTCTTTTGTGTCTTCTTTATATTCTCCCTCTCCCCTTTCTCATGGCGCTGAGGCGCGCTTCCTAATCTTACATACCCCCTTCCCCTTGAGTAACCGGTTCCTAGAGGGCAGCGCAAAAGAGCGCCCCTTCTGCCCCTTCCTCTTCACAGTCACTTTCTCTGCAAGTGTTGTCGCTCGCCGACGTGAGCCGCGTTAGCTTTTGCGTGCGTGTTTCTTCTCTTTTTTCGACCGCTTCCGCCTTATCTTTTATCGTGCTGCGCTCGTGATTCCAGCAACATGAATGCGCCAGGCGGGAAGCGAAAGCGCATAACGCTAGATCAGAAGGCGGCTATGATAAGAGCCGTCGAATCGGGGACCAAGAAAGGCAACGTGGCAAGAGACTTTGGCGTATCGACGAGCACACTGTCAACCATCTTGAGCAAGCAGGAGTCCATCATCGACGCTGTTGCACGTGGCGTGAAAGGAAGCGCTAAGAGGATGAGGGCACCTGCCTTTGAAGCGGTCGAAAGGGCCGTTTTTAAATGGTTCTTGGACACGCGGGCCGTGAATCTGCCGGTGAGCGGCGCCTTGCTGCAAAGAAAAGCGAGAGACTTTGCCTGCATCATGGGCTATGACAACTTCGTAGCAAGTTCGGGTTGGCTCCAACGCTTCAAGGAGCGCCACGACATTGTCGGGAGAGCGGTCTGCGGCGAATCGCAATCTGTCGACGAAGCAGAGGCTACCAAGTGGGCGAAAGAAAACATCGTGCGGCTGCTAGAAAAATACAGCGCGGAGGATATTTTTAACGCGGACGAAACCGCTCTCTTTTTCAAGATGTTGCCGCACAAGACGTTAGCCCTCAAAGGCGAGCCGTGCCATGGCGGCAAACAAAGTAAGCTGCGGATCACTGCGCTACTTTGTGCAAACATGACCGGCTCTGAGAAGCTGCCAATTTTCGTAATTGGCAAAAGTGCATCCCCTCGCTGCTTTAAGGGGAAGAGGCAGCTCCCAGTCAAGTACATAGCCAATCTCAAAGCCTGGATGACCAGGGAGATTTTTTCAAAATGGCTTTGCGAATGGGACGAGAAGCTGGCAAAGGCAAACCGCAAGGTGTGCCTTGTTTTAGATAACTGCACCGCCCACCATACCGCTGCCGTGCTTCAAAACATCGAGCTGCTGTTCCTTCCCCGCCAACTGCACAGCAAAAATACAGCCGCTTGACCAAGGCGTGATTATGTCGCTGAAGGCAGGTTACCGCAAGCGTGTGATAGACAAGCTCCTGCTCAACATGAGGATGAAGCGAGACACCGATGTTGACTTGTACTCTGCGCTCGAAATGCTTCAGGCGGCGTGGATGAGTGTGACGGTGACCACGATCGCAAACTGCTTTCGACATGCCTCATTTGCCGCCGCACCAGACGCCAGCGATGGGCCATCAGACGAGCCCACTGTGCCGGACGGTTTTGCCACATCAAACGAACTCGCTGCATCATGGACGGCACTTCGTGACGCCGGTGTCGTGCCTGACAGCGAGTCGTTTTGCGACTATGTGAGTGCGGACTCGGAAGTGGTGGCAACGGAGCAGCTCCTGGATGACGATATTGTGCGCGCTGTCAGTGATCGTAACGAAACCAGTGACGATGACTCTGTCGACGAACAGCAGACAAACGTGCCGACGGCGTCGGAGGCATTAGACGCGGTGGACGTACTGCGCCGCTACTTCGGCGCTCACGAGGGCGGCAAAGATGGCTTGAACATTGCGGTCGCAGCTGAGAGAGAGCCATCATTCGCATCAGGAAGATGCATCAACGTCCAATTACGGACTTCTTTGCAGCTAAGTCTGCCTGAAATGCAAGCTGTGTATTTTGAAGTGCATTAAAACAGGTGCATGACTTTTTCCTTTTCATTTGGGAATGCGGTTATTTTGTTGCATACCACCGTGCAGCGGGATGCTATTTCGCCCGCTATTTTTTTTGGGTAAGTACAGTGCATAATATTTGCGGTAAATGCCCGCTACGGCTATAACGAAATATTGGTTATAACGAGCAAATAGCGGCGGCCCTCCAATTTCGTTATAACGAGGTTTAACTGTAGTTTAAAAAGAGCACACAAGTCTTTTATTTATTATTTTTTGTTCTTTCTAAAAACCACCCTTCCATCTACAATAGTGATCACACCACAATAGAGTGAATACGCTAACATACAATTGGGTATAAGAGACACCAGTGGATATACATGAAAATAGGGGTTGATCACAGAACGAGAAAATGGCAACCTGCTTACAAGACACCTCATATAAGGGACAATAACTGCTCTTCAGTGCATGTCTGTTATAAAAAGATTCAACTGTACATCATAGTTACATCAAGAGTACAATGTTTTTGCATTGAAATGCAGGTCACAAATGTAGCATGCACGTAAGGCAAATTTCTCTTGAAATGAATGACACAAGTAACTATTATACAGCCAAATTATTATTTACCCCAAGGAAATAATTATTAAGCTCAATAGCAAACAAAGGTAAACATAATTGCCTAAGCTTAGAAATTATGTTGCAAAATTTTATAAACTAAATGGTACTTGAAAGACACGTTAATATATCCATACAATAAAAAAAGAAAGCAGAAGGCATAAAGGCACTGTCTCATATGAACGACCAGAAATATCCCCGAGAATAATTTGCACTCCCAGGATTACTTGATGCCACAGGAGTCCTTAAATCCAACAGCAGTTCATTCCTTGAATGCGTGATTTCATGTTGTTTATAAAGATCAGGCTTCCGAGATGCATTTTGCAATCTTAGTTCTAAGTAAATAAATGTTTCCCACATGTGCCAATAAGAAAAACCAGCAAACTGAACAGGCTGCAGTTCGTGCAATATGCCGTGCATGGTTCCGTGTCTAAGAGATAAAGTGAATTAAATTAAGCTTGGTTGTACATTTTAGTGCTTCAAAAAGATATACACTACTTTTTAGACGTAGAACATAACATAGTTGAAATGCTAGAAAATGTGTAGAAAGTCAAGTGGATATGACATATTGTACACCGAGCTATGCTTTCCAATGCTCAGACATGCACGATGTCAAGTATTAGTGTAAGAAAAGCAGGAAGAGATCAAAACATTGTATTGAAAGGACTGAAAGAAAAACCCAATTACCTGCAAGCAAGCATGATGAAGAGCACTATTACCCTTGCTGTCTTGCACAAGGATGTCGGCTTTCAGCTCCAATAAGGCCTCTAAAAATCAAACAACAAAAACTCTATGACATGTACATGAAACAGAGATATGATTATATTTAAAGACATGCTAAATGCTGTCTATATCAAAAGACATGGGCTGAATGCTGTCTACGACTACAATGAAGGCAAATGGCCACCTTAAAATCTCGACACTTCAGCTTTGGAGTAACAAAAGAGGCTAGGCTAACGAAATAACCAAAGAAAAAGGTGGTCTTTTCGTCACCGTCTAGTGGTAGACAATGAGTGGCGTGACATCAACCAAGTCAAATCCGTCAAAAAAAATCCCATGCAAAAGGACGCAAACATGGCATGCGAGTACAACATCTGCCTATTTGGAAGATTTTACACTATCTTGCTAATGCCTGTTATACACCATATGGCAACTTGGCCCCACAAGTGGCTTGCAAGGCATACATAAATGAATAGAGCTACCGTATTTTCACTCGCGCAATGAACGCACTCGCATAGTAAATGCACCCCCAACTTCCATCTTCAAAATTTAGATTTTTTTTTATCCCGCATAATAATCCAATCCCCTACATTCATCCGCTGCAGTCCCGCAAACCAACAGCTGGGGCCTCTTTGACCGTTGGATCTTTTTTGTTTTTATTATGCCGACCCCCACCCCTCGACCGCTGTCTTTTGTCCTTTTTAATTATCCGTGCACCACTCCGGGGTTCACGAACAGTGCGAGAGTAGGGACATTGCAGTTGACAATCACACAGCGAGCGAAGGTCACAAAACTACCCGCGCCAACCAACGGTCGCTTCCTTCAAATACGAAACTTTAAGGCCCATCCACATGCACGCGATTTTAGAATAACGACAAGATTTGCTTTAGCCATGGCTGTCGCGAAGGGCCATTCGTCGCCATCGCGTCACAGGTTTCTCGAAAACCAGAAAAAATTGCTTGTCCCCCCTCCCTCCCCAAAAGGGCGGGACAATTTTTGCAACATGGTAGCGCCCTCAATTTCTGCTTCAGTTGCAATTAGCTCCTCATACTTGTTATTCAATATGCGCCACAGAATACAATAGCAGCAGCAACCATATTTTATTATCGACGGTATGTTTCGACGCTTTGGCGGTAGCTTGCTACAATGTTGGTTACTTGCTACAATGTCAACGTCGATATCCGTAATATAGTAGCAGTCCCAATTCTCGCTTGGGAAGCAATTAGCTCTTTATGCCTGTTATCCCCGCATGTTTCACGGAACACGAGATATAGGCTACCTTTCTACAGTCACTTCTCATGTGGACAGCGAGGCAGCGGCCAAATCTTGTTATCGGCGGTTTGCTTTGACGCTTTAGTGGTAGCTTACTACAATGTTGGTTACTTGCTACAATGTTAACGGCGTTGTTGCCGGCGTCGTGCGCGGTTGCCCCGTGGTTCGCAAAGTGCATCGTAGTGCTCGCTTCTGGGCATTCCTCGAGGTCACAGGAGATACCACTGCCGCAATTAAACGATTGCGTGAAAAAAAAAAATGCAAAACGCTTTTATAAAGTGCGCGGGAGGTGGGGGGACAGCTAGCAGAAGGTAGCGCTGTCAACCACAGAAATGAGTGAAGTACAACAAAGAAGCTGTTTCCAAACAGTGTACACGTATGTCAGTTGCAAAAGACTAAGCGACGAAACTTTTTTCTTCGCATTACCACATTTTTTAATCATTCTCAAAAAAATAAAAGCGTTCATTATGCGAGTAAATATGGTACTATGAAAACGACAAATTTTGCTTTTGTAATAGTGGAAAGGCATGAAGGACGCAAACATGGCATGCCCTCTAAGTCATTATGAAAAATTCCGTAATTAAACTCATACAAGAAAATTAGACCAGAAGGTTCCTTCCTGTGTGTGCTCTGTCGAAATTGTAGAGGGGAATGGAAAAAAATATGCAGCGTTCTTGATGAGTCTACATTGGGTGCATCACACTTTGCGAAATACTGGGATACCAAAGGCGTTTATATGAGTGGCCATCTTGTAGTGAACAAGTTGACAGAGCGTACAGCCATTATTCCACTATGCTTTACACAACAGCTGGTGTTGCCAAGGTAAGCTGCTTTCTCGTTGCTCTACTGTGCAGCCTGAGGCGAGAAAGAGAGTGCAGCTACCTATGGACTTGCAACTCCCATGGGCAGCAGCCATCATGAGTGGTGTTTGGCCCCGGCAGTCAGCGGCATTGATGTCAGCTCCTTCCTTGACCAGAGTCTGCAGGCACAGTACGCTGTCGTCGCACGCAGCCGCGTGGAGTGCAGTCCTGCAACCACCATTGCAGAGAGAGGGAATAATGATGTCTAAGAAGTGAGAGACCTACAGTTTATGCTTGCCGGTACTTTGAAAGGGTGCAGTACAGGCTAGCGTAACAACGTTTTCATTGGTTTCTGCCGCCTGGTTTCTTGCACTATCACGTAAACAAGCAACTTCAGGAAAGCAGGAATACAGGTGTCAATGCTTCTTTTAACTATATGCCTGGAATGTCACTTTCTTTTCCACAGCAAATATCCTGCTGGAGCCAATCGCAGGCGCTGTAAGGGAAAGCTTGCCACCGTACAGCTCAGGCACGTGACGTGATGCTAGCAGCTGCTCGAAGGCAGCCGCAAGAGCTGTGTGTATTAACAAGAGGACGCCGCACAAGGCCCTGGCCACAGTAACAAAAGGAGGAGACGACAGGCAAGGGAAGAGACGAACATTTGTGGCTAACCTTCCAGGCATTGCCTCAAAGGAGGCACTGACAGACGTATACACAAATAAGGCAATAGGGTCTCGCTTAAGAAGCAAACTTATGGCCATGTTGCCACCTTTTATTTTTTCACGAACAGCAGTGAGAGCCAATGGTCCAGCTCAACTTACAAAGGCGAACTGCATGAGCGTATTCATAGAGTGTGGAGCTATGGAAGCTGAGAGGAAGGACAAAAAAAGTAAGCTGAGAAAGATCTGAAAGATGGCACTCACCTTTGCTTTTTGTCCCGTAATTGCACTAACTTCTTCCCAAAATGATTGAGCAACAATTCTATACAAAACTCGCTCCCATGGAATCTGTCCACAAAAAAGGGGGAAAAAAGGGTTGCGATGAGCTGCCAGCATTTTTGAAACCTATAACACAGTTACGCAATGGGCAATGACAAGCTGATTATTCTGGTGCATATGGCACCTAGCAGTTGTGGCTTTATGAAGTGGTGGCTTTATGACTCTTCAATAAAACAAACAGCAATTTCTGTTGCACATAACATGCACTTGAGGCTAATTTCCTATTCCCGACGTTGACTGGCAGAGGCACGGTAACATTTCATTTGCCAAGAGTTCAATGCTGGCACGCAGCTTCTCCGAGGCCCTACCTTGATGCTGTGTAGAGCTAAGGGCTAGAGAAAGTCAATGGTATGAGATGTGCATGAGCTAAATATAGAAGCTACAATACAGTGGAACATCGCTGTTACGTTCCTCGCTGCCGAGCTTTCTCGGCTGTTACGTTGTCTTTCATAGGTCCCGGCATAGCTCTAGTAGAATCCCACGCATTGTGTACCCCGCTGTTACGTCGCAACTGTGAGAGCGTTCCTGCATGATGCGTCGCAACCTAGTTCACCGAAGCCGCCCGGGCACCACCATTTCGATTTGACGTTTGACAGTCACTGTCCTGGCTTGTTTACGAATCAGGCTGCAAGAAGCCACAGGTGAGTTGGAGAGGTCGCCCCTAAATGGCCATTTGTGAAAAGTGCTATCGCTATAGCGAACTAGAATATGATCTAGTGGCGCGACCGGCAGGCCGCGGCTCCTGTCTCGGCGGTCCAAAATGACACGAATGGCGGCTAGGATTTCTCGCGGCGCCATTGTGCCTTCTCATGCGATATGCGTGAGGCAAGCGCACGCCAGCGGCGTCTACTCTGGATAGCGCTGGAGTCAATCAGTGCGTGTGCGTGAGTATGTGTGTGAGTTTGGGCCGTTGAGCCACCGCCACCTGAAGAAACTTCGTCAAGGGCTGAAAACTCTACCACATATTTCAACAGGCTGACGACGCTGGTTGCGTTGTGCGCTGTGGTGGCACACAACGCAACGGACGCAGGCATTCGGCGGCGCGTTCGCATTGGCATTGCAGTCCCCGCAGCATTACTGAGCTTCCACGAGAAACAATGAATGTTGCATCGTTCTCTGTATGCCGTTGGGATCTTCGGAGTTGTGATGTGTGCTGCTTGTGGTTGTGCTTGTGTTCGTTGGTGAGTGACGAGATTGTGAGCAGCTGCGGTTCCAAGAAGGTGTTGTGTCCACATTTCTGTGTAAACTGTGAATCTGGGCCGCGAGTGCATGTGTTTGAATTTCCGACTGACCAAGGTGCCCAGAAGGCATAGACACGAGTAGATATGGGCTATTCTAAGGGGTAGTGTCAGCCCAACAAAACAGGAAAAAGTAAATATGCTGCTTTTCTTTCGTTTAGTGTATTGTGTTACATCTAGTAGTAACATGTTATTCAGTGTCACTTTTATCCCATGCGCAAGTTTTGAAGTACGTGTTAAGGCCAATATTATAAACGGGAAGCATATTGCTGTCGCTTTCTTGTCACTTGCAAATGTTCGAAATAGTTTTTAGCCTGAAGTGATATAGACGAGAGGGCCACCGACGGCCAGAGGGAGGTCCCATAGTGCACACGAGACTCGCTTTTTTATTCCCCAAGTCCGTGGGCGCGCTTCTCAACCAGTGTTCTTGCAGGACGCGTACCGCACTCTTGTGGGCCGCGTAAGAGAGCGATGCTGATGAGCGTCTCTTGCAGGCCGAATTATTGCATTTTCAATTTTAATAAGCCAATCTACTGCACGTGTGCCATTGCACTCTGCTGCATAAGGACCATGGTGGAGTCAATATCTCATGAGATATCCAGCACCAACAAACATGTAGCTTCTGACATGTTGAAGCGGACCACGGATTGTCATTGTTTTGCCCTGGGTTGCCGCAGCGGTAACCGGGGTGCTCTGAAGGCGCCGTTTGGATCTCCCATGCCAACGCTCTGCTCAGGTTGTGCACGAACTAATTTTGTTATATTATGTCTGCTTGAACCAGGGAACAAACGTGCGTTCCAAGTAACCACAGCTGCAGCTTTGCCGGAGCCCGCGACGGCATCCGCGTGAAAGCTGACCCCGGAGCACAGCCGGTCGCGCCACTAGATCATATTCTAGTTCACTGTAGCTATCACCAACATCAATGTGCTCACAACGGAAGTTTCACTACGAAATGTCGGAAGTACGTGACAGTCCCACCGCCTGAATCATCTTCAGTCGCTGTTGTGTGCGCTAAGCCTGTTACTGTTGAACTTGTCAACACAATCTTTGTCAAGCCTTAATGACGTCGTGTAAGCAGAAAATGCTTTTCCTTAAGAAAAAGCTGGATGCACTTAAAGCAATCGACAAGCAGCCAGCCCAAAACAGGTCGACATTGCCAAAGACCTTGGACTGCCACAGCGGCAAATGCAGCGAAGAGTTGGCAGTGGAGATGGCTGCTTTAAACTTAGGAGAAACCGTTGCAGCCCTGGATTACTTTCGCAGGTACGTCGCACACCAAAGCGACGATGAAAGCAATGGGCCTTTCCAGATTCTTGAGAAACACGTGATGCTTACCAGCGAGTGAAAGAAGCGGCAGTCAACTATCTTAAAATATTTTGTCTTAGGCTCATTTTGTCGAAACAAATTGTATGTAGTTTCAAAGTGCCTGTGCTTTCATTCATTTTCGGAGCTTGCCTCACTCTTGCATTTTCTTGGCTGTTACACTTTTCCTACCCGGTCCGCTCAAAAATGTATGAACGTGGTTCCACTGTGCATGGAAGTGTTCATGCTGACTGCATTGGTACAACATTTTACAAGAGGCAGACAAATAACCTCGCTTACATTTCCTTGCAAAGAGAGAGAGAGAGAGAGAGAGAGAGAGAGAGAGAGAGAGAGAGAGAGAGCAAATCCCCGAGACATACATACTTTCATGCTTTAGAGCATTTATTGAAATTAAAACACTTAAGTCTCTCTCCTGAAAGGATAAGCATGTAAACGCACTTATGAGTGAGAACACGTAAAACTAAGTGCGTCTGACAGCTACTACTGCATTCTGCACATAATTTAATGCTACTAATACAATGCTACATATTTGTCAATGACACTTGTCAAGCAACAAAATCTCGCAAGATTACTTATCACTAAGCTCCAGTGCCTTGAAACAACTAAGTATTATTCAAATGAAATTTATTAGCTTTGCTAAACTGTATTATGGAAAGTTTCCTAACTTATCCAGTCTTCTGAGTAGATAATGTCTCTTCAAAATTAAAAAAAAAATAAACTGCAGCGAAGTGAGTCCATGAAAACAAACTGTGGGTGCACTGGTGGAGGTCTGCTAACATGTGAGGGTGTGCAATTCCAAGACGCCAAGACAAGGCCATTGTGCAAATGCAATGATTAAAAAAATATACTGCTATGTATAGTCACTGCCACACTCACAGGAAAACTGGAGTTCATTATGTGAAACTTCGCCAAGCAAGGACACTTCTCTCGCCCCTTTTTTTTTTTTGCTTCTGAACTCAGTTGTTCTAGTAGTTGTGCACAGAGGATGATTCCATTTTGTAGTTTTGGTTATATAAATCAAAATTTTTCACAACCAAAATGCATGCTTTGAGCACATAAAAATTTTTTTTACTGTACTATCTACACGTACTGTATTCATCTCCTTGGCTTCAAGAGATAGTACAGTACAATTTTTTAAAATTTTTTCATTAATTCAAACTATACCCGCACATCTAGCGTTTCACTAATGAAATCAAACCTTGGACTAATTGATTTGCAAATTTGAAGAAAAATTTCTCGTCTATGCCTTTTTCACAAAATCCTTTACCAAAATAATTCACTTAAACAGGAACTCATCTCGCAACCTTCATACATATCGTCACGTCTTGATCATCAGTATAAAGTTTTTATTCCTTTCTGCCGTACTAACGTTTTTTCAGACTCCTTTCTGCCAAAGACCAGTGCCGAGTGGAACCACCTTCCCCCCTCCATCGCCTCCATTGAGGACGTGTCATCCTTCAAGACTGCACTAACCGATCATATCTTAAGCCTCTAATAACTGAATATTGTTTGAACATGTATTCTAATTAATTGGTTGTATTATTGTGTTCTGTTATTGCTGCATTTTGTTATATTACCGACCCCCTCTGTAACGCCTTTATGGGCCCTGAGGGTAATGTAAATAATAAATAAATAAATAAACTCAGCAAGATGAATCAGGGTAGATTCACTGCGGCGGCCATAAATGTTTGTTTCATTGTGGACACACTCAGCTCACCTTCAATAAGAGCAGTACAAACTGTGTGGACGAGCTCTGCTCATCTTCGGTGGGCAAAGAGTTCAGTGAATGCTTAATTGGCAAAGAAATCAAATATTTCACTGATTCACTATACATGACTGTCTGAATTTCACCAACAGTGGAAAAGCCCAATAGAAGTGCTCCCATACTGTAATCTGTGGCTTCTGGGTATGCTGGCATTCGTCACAAATTCAGTTGTTAGTACTGACTAATGCATAAGAAGACTAATAGAGGAGTTATTGCAACATGTCATCAGTTATTGGTAGTTCCAACTTGAGGATAGCCAAAAATCAATATGGCACTAAAGTATCCAGTGTTCAGAGCGACAGGCTGAATACGACAAAGACAGACAGCAGCCCATCATGCTGTATACAAGCCATATCGCAATGTCCAGAATGAACCAGCTGCATGCACACATAGGGAGTAGCGTTTCTGGTCTAAGTTTGCATATTTCTGAGCTGATGTATCCTACAAGAGAGACAGTGAAGCTGGAACAAACACAACATCAGTGCTACAGTACAACACAGGCAGAAGTGCCCACTAGAGGAAAGAAAAATGCAGAGCATTAGAAGGATACTTGCATGAAAATGCTGTGTAAAGTTATAAAAGACCCATCCATCAGCTAAAAAAAAAAAAAGCTGTAGGACACTGTGAATGACAGAACACCAAGGAGACAACAGAAAATGGCACACATGCAAAAAGAGGAGTAATTTAGGCAGATGTGCTTGCTTCCAGCACACCCTTATGCGCTTTGGAACAGAAGGAACAGTTTAACATGGCTTAGAACCAATAATTTATACAGCCTTAAGGGGTCCTGTGACACTTTTCCAGCATGGTGAGAAAACGCTGCTGATCGGTAGTCGAGGCTCTCGAGAACACGCGGGCCAAACATTATAGCGAAGCATGAGAAGTTTAACCATGAGCTACGTAATTACTGTGGCCGCTGCTGGATGTCACCCCATGGCCAAATGAATTCTAGTTACTTCAATCTCATGGTTCAGTTTTATCGTAACCACCCTTTACCCCCCAGTGCCTCACCACTTATCGCAAAGCACTTAAGTACATAACCTTAGCTTCCTACTAAGGTTATGCTTCTTTAAATTAATATTGACTTACTGCATATTAATTTTTAGCCCTACGATTCAGCTTTCCTTGAGTAATTCAGTAATCAGAAGCTGTAGAGCATGCATCTCTTGAATCAATTGGAGAATTTTTGATATTATTAGTCTACTAAATTTTCTCCTGACCTTCCAGACATGGCCTGCAGTTTGACAACTGCAGTTTGACAACACAGACACATGCCAAACATACTATAATTTTCAACAGACCATGCAAAAAAAAAAAGTAAGGCAATCGACAGCAGAAAGCAGTGGCAGCAGCAGCTTCAGGGCTACTTACGGGTTGCAACTGTGGCCAAGCCGCATCAAGTCACAGGAATGGTTAAGAAAGCACAGCAAAGGGCGGTGTGCAAAGGAATTGATAGGGGGGTGGGGACCCAAAGAAAGTGGGAAAGAAGACGAGACACTGTATCAGCATATCGGCTTCCTTACACAGTTGACAGCACATACAAGAGCAACATGAACAACATGGCGGCACGCAATAGCAGCAGCAAAGCACTGGCAATAGCAATAGTCATTAAGAACTCAATGAGCAACATTAAATAAATCCTCCACGTCCTGCAATGCTATGCACAGCACAGCAGCTGTCGTTTCGCGACAACACTTATTTCCAGTGGTCCACAACAAACATGCAGATGTCAGTATTTCAGTAATCAACATACCACACTACAGTACTGCGTAAGCTTAGCACTTAAATTTCCCGTCTGTTTTAGAACAGACAAGTATGCTGAACGTAGTCACTTCGAACCACAGCAGCTGCAGCCAAGATGCCAGAACTAGTGCGATCGCAGTCGTCGTCTTTGTCGTCTGTCTGATGCTTTCTCCTTGCCGATGCTATGTAACAATATAAATGATAGGAGTAGAAAAAAAAAAAGACTTTGGCAGTTACAACTAGTTCATCTTCGAAAACACACTTCAAGACATTAAAATGAACTGTGTTTTGGGACATACCTCTTATTCTACCTATTAAGCTCCCGTGTTTGATAGTGTCAAAACATGAAAAATGCAATGCAAGTGCTAGAGAGAGGTGGTGTAGAAGCGTATGAAAGTGCTTATTAAGGTATGCAATAACAAGGCTAATCCAGGGCAGCGTACAAGCTTTGTTTTCAGGGCAACAACTGTGAATTACACCGAGCTTCGGAGCATGCAACCACCATGCTACCTGGCATTTCTTTCTGTTTCATAAACGCAAACATCCTGCACATTCTTCAAAAAGGAACAGAGAATAAATAAATGGTGGTTATGGAAACCAATGCGCATGTGTCTTACCTGCATCACTGTCAGGAAGTAGCAAAGGCAAAGCTGTCGTTATGCTGATAGCAGGCTTACAAAACACATACAAACATACGTGCAAGCAAAAAAAAAAAAAAAGCACATGCACGCAGACGACACAAGTATCAAAGCCACAGATGTGGTACTCACGCTGCACAATGAAGCGGACTGAAAGAGTTCCCGTAAAATTTATTTGTTCGAGTGTGTTCCAGGAGTGTGCCGAGGCAAGGGCCATGACCTAGTGCGCAAAGCAAGCAATTAAAACAAGGCTCCATTCATAAACAAACAAACAAACAAACAAAGACAATCCACAAGTCTGCAATGGTCAGATGTGCCTCTGCTTTCGTGGCCCCAAACATAGTGACATTACAGAAGCACAAAATTAAACCTCATTAATTTGAATTTGACTGGGCCAGAAATAAAAGCCCAAATTAAGTAATGTCAAGTTACTGTGGGTGTCAAGAAAACAATACAAAAATACCTTTTAAAGAATGAATTGACCACACTTGCACAGCCATGTTCGCGATGTTTTAGGAACATTGTGACAATCCAAAAAGAAACTGTTCCATGCCACATTTATTGAGGACAAATTCGTGGTTGCCAATGATTAGGCTTGTGCACACTAAATTTTAGGTTTGAAGTGAATTCGAAGCGAGTTGTGATTTGGTCGAAATACTCCAAATCGAATTTGTACAGTATATATCACATACTATAAAAAATGAGCGCATTTGTTATGACCCAACTAACCTGCACAACATTTAGAAAAAAAGAAATTTAATCAAGGTATGAGCAAATGCCATTCTTTTGGTCCAGAAGACGTGGAAACAACTTTGAATAGTAGCGGAATTTGTCTTCCGGTAGAATGCAAGCGATAACCTGTAAAATATGTTAAATTTTAAATTCACTAATGGCACATGAGCAAGCTTGAAGGAGTGAACTCACATGGTGGCCTGTGTGAGGAACAGCGACATCATCTTTGAAAATGTGCAGTGTTGACTGTACCTTTACAAACTGTAAAACTGAAGATATTGTATGTGGTGTGTGCTGTGTCAATAACAATGTATCTTGTCTGCGAAAACGTTGGTGCTCACTGTGGACCAGTGGCAGTGACCGGTTGTCGATGGAACATCACGATTCCACATTTTAGTGAAGGCAAAAGTGCATTTGACTCAAAGCTTGTGCGAATAATAATTTTGGCAGAATAATTTTTAATGAAATTTCAATTGTATATAGTAACACATATTATAAAAAAAAATGGGCACACGTGTCATGACCTAACTAATCTGAACAATATTTTTTTCTTTAGAAATTAAAACAAGTTCTGTGCAAAATGCCATTTCTTTGGTTCAGAGGAAATGGAAACACCTTTGAATAACAATGGGATTTGACTTTTGGTAGAATGCAAGTGATAACGAGTAAAATTATCACGTTTAAAAATTTACAAAGAGCATATGAGCGGGCATAACAAACTTTTAAACTTAAACAGTGATGAATTGATATGAGAGTAACATATTCATTTAACCTTGAAGTGCGGCTTTGCAGCAGTGCAAAATTTTCTTCGAATAGATGTTTTTACAGTTTAGGACCCCAAAGCCACCATAAAAAAAAACTCACAAACAAAATAATATACATTTGGGTAGGTGCCTTCACAGCTTAGCACTCCTCTCCTGCAGTGAAACCACCTCTAGTAAGTACCCCCCCCCCCTCCCCCGCTATTTTTCTTTTCTTTCCTTTTACGCAAGCATTTTTCTATTCAGTTCATGCCAGATTTCACGCGCCATTAATTCAGAAGCAAGAGTATACAGTGGAACCCTACAGCAACGAATGCCACTTCAACGAAAAATTCACGGATCCCCGTCAGCAGTCCATAGGAATCAATGCATTGTAGCGAGGCCTCCGAACTCTAAAATGGGTCGAACTCTTGAGTACCTCCTAATGGGGCTACCCAACAAGGACGCCGCTCGCGCTGAGAGTCCGTGCTTGGCCGTGACTGTCGCCATTGTGTATGCTCGCTGGTTGCAGGCTAATAAACGCCTCAACAAATTGGTGGAGAGTGCTGCGATCCCCTTCGATGCCCTTGGAGCTACAATCACGTACCCTGCCATCTACCATGTCCCATGACGCCTCTCAGCAAATGCCTCCTCCAATGCCACCCCCTTGTCCCGGTGTCCCCAGAATCCGCGATCCACCCATCTTCACTGGCGCTGATGGCACCGACGTGGAGGACTGGCTCGCCATTTACGAGCGCGTGAGTGTCTTCAACAAATGGGACGAGGACGGCAGGCTGACCAACTTGGTGTTCTACCTTGCGGGTGTTGCTAGTTTGTGGTACAACAACCACGCGTCCAATTTTGCCACCTGGTCCGATTTTAAGACCGCAATCATCAACGTCTTCGGCCGCCCTGCTGTTCGCAAGCTGCAAGCCGAGCAGCACTTACGTGAACGCGCTCAGGAGGCTGGTGAGTCATTCACCACCTATATTGAAGATGTCCTGGACTTATGCAACAAATCCAATCACACCATGTCCGAGTCTGACAAGATCTGAAACATCACGAAAGGCATTGACGACGATGCCTTCACGATGCTGCTCGCCAAAAACCCCTGGCACAGTGGTCATCACACTGTGCCAGAGCTACGAGGAGCTCCGCCGGCAGCGTTCGATGACCCGTCGCTCCCCACCACGAGCTGCAACGCTTGCTGGTTTGGAGGCCAGTTGTGACCAAGTGGCGTTGATGGCAGACCTAAAGTCCTTCATCCGTGAGGAAATCGCGCGTCAGTTGTCGCTCCTGCCCTTTGCCCACGAACCAGCTGTTCAACAATCGGCTACTACCCTTCTCCCTCCTACCCGTCGAGCGATTGAAGAGGAAATATCGGAAGTAATGCCTGCGTACGACCCCCACAGCCTCCGGCTCCTGCGCCCCTGAGTTACGCGCAAGTGGTCGCCAGGCCGCCCCAAGTTGTTCCAGCACCTGCCCCTCTGACCTACGCCGAAGCTGCCGCTCGACCTCTGTCCTTTGCAGCGGGTATGCCCGCTACGTATGTTGACGTAACCCCTCAGCGTCAGCTTCAGTCTACCATGCAGCCACCGTTCCGTCCATCGGCCCTTGCGACATGGGTGAGACCTACCCCGGTGAACAGATGGCACACACCCGACAACCGGCCCATCTGCTTTGCCTGCGGTTATGCCGGTCACGTAGCCCGTTATTGCCATCGCGTACAGCTGGCTCCGATTTCTTCACCTCTCGCTGGCCAACTCAGCCATCCTTATCACGAAGAGCCGCGTCTACGCCACCTCGGTCTAGTCCAGGTTCATCTCGAAGATCGCCGTCTCTACGACGACGTTCCCTGTCCCCCATGCGGCCAAGTTTGGCTGCTCATGAGCGGGAAAACTAGTCGTCGCAAGTCCCCGAGGCAAGGACTGCAACGCTATCGCATTGTGAAAGCCCTCAGAGCAGCCCCTCGAATGTCATTGACGTGCTTGTGGACGGTGTTTGTGCATCGGCTCTTATTGACACTGGAGCTGCCGTATCAGTTATGGACGAAAAACTCTGCCGCTTACTTCGAAAAGGAACGACGCCCTTTTTGGGTTGTCCCTCCGTACTGCTAGTTTGCATCGTATTCATCCAACAGCCGGGTGCACAGCTCACGTCATTCAGAACGTTCTGTATGTCACCCAGTTCATCATCATTCCGGCATGCTCTCATGACGTCATCCTGGGATGGGACTTTCTCTCCCGCCATGACGCCGTCATCCAGTGTGCCGCTGCCGAAATTGAACTCTCACCCTTCTCGCATTTGACGCCAGAAGACAGTCCCTCGACACTGAGCAAGATTCTAATGAAAGACGATACAACAGTCCCTCCAAACTCTACGATGGCTGTGTCTGTCTAGTGCGCCGGTCTCTCCAACATAATTGCACTCGTTTCGCCATCCGACCACGCTTGTAGCAGGAAAGGGTTGCTAGTACCTTTCGCGACCGTGCAGGTCAACCAGGGCAACGCCGCTATTTTGGTAACCAACCCGTCCCTGTACACTGTTACCTTGCTTCGAGGGGAATGTCTCGACAGAGTGGAACCAGTCGACGACGCACAAGTCCTGGATGTACCCGATGACACGCGCTGTCCCAGGTAGCGTACCATCAATGCTGTTTCCAGTTCTGCTCCGTCATCTGCTGATGTATTTGGCCCCTCCATCGCTGACAACCTTACGGCGGTACAGCGTTCCCAGCTTCTGGATTTGTTGCAAGAATATCGTTCTTCTTTTGACGTCAGGCGAAGTTCTCTCGGTCGCACGTCCGTTGTTACACATCGCATCAACACTGGTGACCATCCACCTTTACGGCGTCCATATCGCGTGTCGCCTGCTGAACGTCGGGTAATTAATGATCAGGTTGACGATATGCTGCGACGCGACGTTATTCGGCCCTCGGACAGTCCATGGGCGTCTCCTGTTGTTCTTGTTGCAAAGAAAGACGGTTCTGTGCGGTTCTGTGTGGACTACAGACGGCTCTATAAGATCACTTGCAAGGATGTTTATCCACTGCCACGAATCGATGACGCGATTGCAGCCTTCATGGAGCCGATATTTTTTTCTTCTCTCGATCTGCGCTCGGGGTACTGGCAAGTACCCATGGCTGATGACGCTCGACCAAAGACCGCCTTCGTCACGCCAGACGGCTTGTACGAGTTCAACTTCATGCCGTTTGGTCTATGTAATTCACCTGCGACCTTTGAGCGCATGATGGACACCGTTCTGCGCAATTTGAAATAGTACACGTGCTTGTGTTACCTCGACGATGTCATTGTCTTCGCTCCGGATTTCTCCACGCATCTCCAACGTCTGAAAGAAGTTTTCGCACATGTGAGCAATGCCGGCTTGCAACTAAATCTGAAAAAGTGCCGCTTGCAGCCCGGCAACTCACCCTCCTGGGGTACGTCGTGTCTAAAGATGGCATTCTTCCTGATCCTGCCAAGCTTCGGGCCGTGGCCAAATTCCCCGAACCTGCATCTGTCAAAGAACTGTGTAGTTTCGTGGGCCTGTGCTCATACTTCCGACGCTTCATACGAAACTTTGTCACGATCATATCCGCTGACGAAGCTCCTTGGAAGTAACGGGCCCCTCAATTCGTGGTCATCCAAGTGCGACAACGCGTTCGCAAAGTTCCGTCATTTGTTGACGTTGCCTCCCATTCTACACCACTACAACCCTACAGCCCCAACGGAGGTGCACACGGACGCCA